ACCAGTGGTGGGCTCTTGTGAACAAGGTACCTTCTGGTACCATAAACTAGATATCTGACTGGTGACTTCTCAGAAAGACTCAGCTCCATGGAGTTAATCATGTAGCCCAGGTGAGTAATTGGTTTGGTTATATGGGCAGGTTGTTATTTAGGCCCACAGGAGGGAGTAAGGAAATGGAGCCAAGTCTCTGACATTGAGAATGATGGGTGGCAAAACAACCATTTTGAAGGGTACTTTGTTTTTTGGGCTCCAATTCCATACTCCACATGAGTTCTCATGCTGGAACAGATGTCACAACTCTAGACATTCTAAAAATTCACTGCCATTGAAACTTTGAAACTTGTAACATCCAGTTGATCTCTAGCAGTTGTAATGCAGTCCTGAGGCCAATGATTAGTGGAGCTGGATCTCCTTGTCTGAGTACGTGTATGTTTGGGGAGATCTCTGGTGTCACAACCTTCTCGTTTTTTTTATTTTATTTTACCAGTTCATTCAAAAATTTTGGGAGATCTCTGTTGTCATGACCTTCTCATTGTTTTTCTCGTTTTGTTTTTTTTTTTATTTTACCAGTTAATTCAAAAGTTAGTGGGAGTGCACACGTGGACATATGCACAGTCCCTTTCAGAAACTGTCCCAAGTGGTCTTTCAGCATTGAAACACAGTGGAGGTCAGCAACTTTGAAAATTCACCATATTTTTAGACATTTGACAAAAAGGGACTGTCTTTTAATCTCTTACCACCATTATGTTGTGCATATGGAAAAGTTTTTGATGTGGTTTCGTAGGAGGATTGACAGGAGGTTGGAGAAAACTGCATAATGAGGAGCTTCATAACTTGTACTCTTCTCCAAGTATAATTAGAATGATCAAGTCAAGGAGGATGAGGTGGGCAGGTCATGTAGCACGAATGCGTATTAGGATATTGGTGGGAAAGCCAGAAGGAAAGAGACCACTGGGAAGACCAAGGCGTAAGTGGGTGGACAATATTAGAATGGATCTTAGAGAGATAGGATGGGATGGTGTGGATTATCTGACTCAGGATAGGGACCAGTGGAGGGCTCTTGTGAACATGGTAATGAACCTTCGAGTTCCATAAAATGCTGGTAAATTATTGAGTACCTGCAGAATTGGCGGCTCCTCCAGAAGGGCTCAGCTCCATGAGTAAGTAAGTAAGTTCCCAGGAGCATGCATTGCAGAAGTGGGAGCTGACTGTAATCATTCAGGTTACTTTTAGAAAGAAAGATCTGTCTTTTCCATCTTTCATTTTTCTGTCTGTCTTCCTAATATTCATTCCTTTCTTTCGTGTTTCCCTATCTCCCTCATCAGTGTTTGATTGTTGTTTTGCTGGATTTTTCATGCTCGAAGGAAGGGTTAGAGAAAGGGTGAGTTGCAAGATATTGGCGTAGTACAGTGTTTCTCAACTGCTGGGCCCTTATCTTATAAAAAAAAAGAAGAATTTACCAGACTGCACTCTCACAAAGGTTGAGAACCACTGTTGTAGTACATGGGATCTTAGCCTTAAGATTTTAACTTGTGTCAAGTTCCTCAGTATTTAAATTTGATTAAATTTCTCAGATAGCAAGAGTTTGCTCTGGAAGTGAGGGATTGGATCTGCACAATGGTTCAGAGATGCCACCTTGTAATCAGTGTTCTTTGTATAAATATCTCATTTTTGTTACAGAACTTCTAATGCAGTATTTTTGCAGTCATAGAGGAATAAATGCTTACTAAGGACAGAGGCACACAAATGATAATGTGAATTATAATTCTTTCACTGACCGAACCGTAAATTCATTGTAATCATTTTTATGCAGTGAATCCCAAACCTGTCACCTCCTTCCTTGGAAAGTCAGAAAATCTAGACCTAAATTTAGGCTATATTGTTTTTTGGGAATTGTTGTATTCCAGATACATCTTGCTTTGTTTCTAAATTTATTTTGTCGCTCTTTCACAATTGCACACGTTATGAACAGTCACATAGAAGATGACTGTGAATGATGGATTATAAAGGATTTGAAAGGAAGTTGTCTTGGTTATTCCTATCACTTGCTGGGATATACTGAAGCAAACCATGAAAACTCAGAGGCTAATGTACTTTGGAACCAAGAATCTGTAGAAAGTGTGGAATTTGAAAGGGGTGCTCACCACTCAACTGTGACCTTTAGTGACACATAGTTGACCTGGCCATCACTGTGCTGTGCCACCAATGATGTTTGGAACTGGCATAAACCTTTATAGCGTACTGGTTACTGAATGTACCCCTTCTTTAACATTAAAAGAACTTTGCATTTTTCCCACACAGTGTATCTGTTGTTTTATATGGTTCTTAGATTAAACAGTGATTATTTCTGTAAACATGATTAATTGTTATCTTTGTAATGTAGATGCAGTCTTTGTGGTAGGACCTGTGTTTTGAATACGTAGATGAATTTCAGGCTTTGAACAGTGAACCAGGAACTCGCCACACTACAGTTTGAATTAATATCGTGCTTTTGAAAGGAAAAGATGCTGCTGCTGTTATTATGCAACTAGAAGAGACTGTTAGGTATAACGTGTATAAAGCAAAAAGTATATACTGGTAATTAAGTCTTAAGAATTAGAGTAGATGAGATGCATTCTACCTTTCTAGTATTCTGCATGCAGAGTTTTAACAAATCAAGAATTGCATTCAGTGGTCAAAGCTTAACTTTTTCTAATGGGTCCATCTGAGAAGGAATCTTTTCTCTGTTCCACCTGACAATCGAAACAGGCTCCACGTCCAAAATGTTGTGTCTGAGAAACTCAGGATGTTGGACAGTGTCAATAATAATAATAATAATAATAATAATAATGTTTATTGTAACACAGCATTGTCACAAACCTTTAGGTTTTTTAATTCAGAATGCAGCCCTGCAGTCTTGTCATGAAATATATTGTTATACATTTCAGTACACTTACATTGTAGTGCCTATGTATGTGGGGTTGTTACAGTATGATGCATTTTGTCAGGTTTCCATGTGATCAAACGTGATTTGAGTAATTGCCACTTCTTTGAATACAGCTGTTGGGAATTGAGACTTCTTACCCCTTTAATTCCATTACTTATGATCCATGACTGCATATGCGTTTGCTCTACTAGTTGTCGTGTGCTATTTACTGGGCAGTAATGACATTACCCTGGAAAAGCTTCAGTGAGAGCTCGGGTACAATTGCTTAGCAACAGTGAGTAAACAGTCATTGCTATGTAAGGTCAACAACATTATGTGACATGTTCTAGCCAATCACAAGCTAGAAACCATTTGCTGCCTAGCAGCAGCTGAGTAAACAGCCGGCGCTATTCAAAGCCTGCAACAATATGTACAGTGACATGTTTTCTATAGGTCCGACTCCAGGTTANGCTCTACTAGTTGTCGTGTGCTATTTACTGGGCAGTAATGACATTACCCTGGAAAAGCTACAGTGAGAGCTCGGGTACAATTGCTTAGCAACAGTGAGTAAACAGTCATTGCTATGTAAGGTCAACAACATTATGTGACATGTTCTAGCCAATCACAAGCTAGAAACCATTCGCTGCCTAGCAGCAGCTGAGTAAACAGCCAGCGCTATTCAAAGCCTGCAACAATATGTACAGTGACACGTTTTCTATAGGTCCGACTCCAGGTTGTATAAGAAGATACATTGAGTGGCAATTTTCCAAGGCGCACACCGGTCCGTGATTTGCACATGGCATTTAAAATTCCGTACGTATATGACTATATAACAGAATTATGCAGGAAACAAGAAGAAGTCATACAAAACCATGAAAATGAGAATGTTTGTAACATTGGACAAGGCGAAGCCTGACACAAAGTATAAGAGGCTTAAACTTGTCGGCCGTCAGGCATTCTACCATTCAAGTGACTAGACTGCCATGGTAGCAAATACTGGTAGAAATAGGGCAAAATCTGCTGTACTGAGCCTGGATTGACAGAGGCCTTGTGTATATTGTACATAGAAATAGGAATTAAGATTAAATTTGTAAATTTATGTAAATAGTGACAATGGACTTACTAACACAGACTATGACTGGCAAATGACAGACCCGACCTCTTGTCAGAGAGGGTGCCCCAAATGGAGAGGACAGTAACTTTCATATAAGAAAAAAAATCTGGAGCTCGACACCAAGACAGACAGACTGATGGACTGTCAGTCGCAATGCGACTTGGACTTGCACCTCCACCGTGACCGTACGAGTCATAGGAGGTGACGAAAAGGGAAGTCTCAAGTCTGAGACAGTAAAATATTGTCGCAAGTACCAAGGGACTCAGACCCGAGAAGGACCGTGCTGCCAAGGGTCAGCAGCATATACAAAAGACAGACCCATCCTCTCATTAGAGAGGGCGCCCCCACAGAAACGAGGCCATAAATGTCAAACACTAATCAATACTTTGGGGCTCGACACCTAGACTTACTGACTGACCGACCGTCAGTTGCAGTGTGACTTGGACTTGGAGCCCCAGACGAAGCAAACCCCGTGTGGAGGCGGGGTCAGATACCTCCACCGTGACCCTGCGAGTCGTAGGAGGCGACGGAAAGGGAAGGCTCAAATCTGAGACAGTAAAATATTGTCGCAAGTACCAAGGGACTCAGACCCGAGAAGGACCGTGCTGCCAAGGGTCAGCAGCATATACAAAAGACAGACCCATCCTCTCATTAGAGAGGGCGCCCCCAAAAGAAGACCCTAAGACTTACTGACTGACTGACCGACCGTCAGTCGCAATTTGACTTTGACTTTGGGAGCCCCAGATTGGGCTCAACACCAAGATTGACTGACTGACTGACTGACTGACTGACTGACTGACTGACTGACTGACTGACCGACCATCAGTCACAATGTGACTCTGACTTTGTAGACAGAAGCCAGTGGTTAGCCAGCACGGAGGGATGGACAGTTCTACAGTCTCGTGAGAGTTAACACGAAAGGAGTTACTGTGAAACGACTTATTCAGCATTTTATGTTATACTTACGTTGAANGGTTTTTTTTTTATGGTTTTGCTCAGTCGTTCCTAGAAAATGTTGGTATAATGCATTCAGGTAAACTACTTTGGCATCCTTTACAGTTCATTTTACTGTCACCATATCTTATGTATTTTGAGTAACCTAAAAGTCATTTACTTCATTATCCAGTTTGGAAGCCTGAGGTGGTTCCCAGTTAACAATAATTATTATTGTTTTCTTACCCCAGATGGTGCTTAAATATCACACTAAAGTACATTGCAACTGTTCCTTTGACAGTTTTCGTCACTTAACAGTGCATTTCTACCAAAATATCAGGAATTCCAATAAGCCTAATATCACTGCATTGTACAAGCAAAAAAAAAAAAAAGTCTTGTAAGGTTCCAGTGAATGGCTCACTCGGGGTTTGGTGGTTTCCTAAATGTACCATTGTCACAACCTATTTTTCTGTTTCTAAGCTCCATCATATGTGTATCCTTCTGACTGCTCCAACAATGGTGGGTAAGATCTGAATCTTTCATGGTGAATAGAAATGCTGAAATCTTTGTGTGTGATTAATGATGTCAGTGTTAAGTATTGAACGTTTCAGAGATCTCCGTGATCAGGGTCAGTATGACGAATGATTGTACATTGCTAACATATATACCAGTATGTCAAATTAGTGCCTCATCCTATTGGTATATTATACAGCAGGAGGGTGGAGTCACATTGTGCAGTCACCCAAATGACTCTAACATGTCACAGTGTCGCCTAAACCTGGTGTCCTTGTCATTTCTTTTATTTTCTTTTTAGCATGATCTTCCTGCATTTCTCATGTTTTTTTTCTGGTCTGTGTGCATTGGAATGTCCTAATAATCTGGTGCGGGGATTCCATGCTCTGCTAAGTTTCTTTCCTTTCTGTTGATGGTGTTTGGTTGTAATTTTATTTTTGTTACCTCGTTCACACGTGGTCCTTGTAGCCTGCGGATTTAGCTAATACATTGGTCTTTTTAAAGTTGATCTAGTGGCCAATTCAGTGCATGCTGTGTCCACAGTGGCAGAACTTAGAACTTGCCTGAGATTTTAATTCAGAGAGCCATGAACTTTATGTTGTAGGGATGAACCTTTTGGTCCTGCTACCAGAGAATTAGTTGTGTGTGTATGTCTCCAAGAAGAATTTGCATGAATGTTACACTGCTTATATACTATAATGTAAATGTAACTGATCTGCGAGTTATAATTTGCCATAGCTGACATATATCAATCACTTTGTTGTTATAATTGTGTTTCTTGTTCCTAATTTAACAGGCTCTGGTGCAAAGTTTTGTAAACCTTTAAAAGAAAAAGAAGAAGGCTAGGAACAGACTTGCTATGAAGCTGCGTTCTGGAAAACAAGTGTCAAAACAAAGTGAGTTGTTAGAATGTGACAGTGATAAGAGAAGTGCAAAAGTTTTCAAGATTGGACAGAAAAGAAAGGAAGCATGTGAAGTTATCAATCCTGTTGGCAATGAAACCATTCCTAGTTCATCAGTAAATGAAGATTCTGGTGACTTCCATCTGAGACAGACAGCAGTTCCCTGTAATAGTACAGGGTCAAAGATTTCAGTTATGAAACATTGTGGTCATATTTCATCTTCAGCTGATGCATTGACAAATTTGCCTGCTAGATCTAGCAGTACTGTCAAAAAAAATGAAGTTTTGACTTACTTTCACCAAACTTCGAGTACTAGATCCAGTTGTTCAGGAAGAAGCAGTGAAGAAAGCTCAGCTAATGTATGCACCAACCTTTCATCATTATGCTCTTCTGAAATGTCTCCATCTAGCAGTAGCAATATTGGATGCCTCATGCAAGATAACAGGCCCCTTATTGTAGATGTGACAAATATAAGAAAAGACAAAACAGAGAACAAAAAGAATGTATGTTCAGTGGTTAACAGTATTCTTGATAAAGAATGTGACAGCATTGGAATGGCTAACGAAAGTGATAAATGTATCTTAAAAATTCCAAGTATAAAGCGAAGACGCTGTAGTAGGTCAGTGAAAATGCTGTCTCAAAATGTGAAGGCAATGACAGCTAAGACACCAACAGTTACTGTACATAAGGATAAATGTTCAGGGCAGGAAGATGATGCATGTTCTGTCATCAGTTTAGGAAGTGATGATGAAGTCATAATTCTTGACAGTGATCCAAAGCCTCAATTGGATTGTAGCAGTGCCAGTGACATTGTTATTCTTGACACATTACCTTCTAAAAAGTGTGTTCCTACTTCAGATCCTGTGATAATAAACTTATGCACACCCTTGAGCCAGTCGGACGTCTCAAAATCTCCTGTGCATAGAGTACAAAAATGTATGAATCGTAAAGATAAAACCAAGCAAAAGAAAATTAAACCTAAGGTACATAAGAAATCAGCATTTAAAGACTACGTATCTCTTCTTGGTAGTGTGCCGCACACTACAGGCAGTAGACCACAAGACATGTCTTTGGTTACAAGCTGCTTTACACAACAGAGTTTTATGCCATTTGCTACTGCTACATCTGCAAGTTCAATCTTTGCTCCAGCCATAAATTCCAGTGTTAGGAATACCTTGAATTCTGCAGTTGTTGCAGCTTCACGTACAGTGGAATATAACCAAATGTATGTGACCAGTGCACATATCGGCAACTTTCAATACCCAAATCCTAATGCTGCAAGAATGGGTCTACAGCCAGTTAATAACCAAGTGGACCTGGCAATTGTACCATCTTCAAGTGTGTATGGCAACAACTTATATAACCCAAATCCTAATCCTGCAAGAGTGGGTCTACGGCCAATTGTTATTGATGGCAGCAACGTTGCAATGGGGTAAGGTTGTTGGATTTTCATTGAGGTACATTTCCAGTGCATGATTTTCTGTTGCCAGCATGCAAACAAGAGTAATTTGTGTAAAGTGGAATGATTTCCTGTTGTCCACATATAAATGAAAGTAGCTTTTATAAAGTTCAATAATTACATTTTATAAGGTCTTGAGCAGGTAGTCCCTAGCAAAATCACCCACAATGTAGTTCTGTATCTGCAACGCTTTCAACATGTCCCTATTAGCACATTCATAAATATTTCCTTTCACTTGTAATAAAAAAGAAAGTATGACATTTGTGTTGGAAGTCAGTGTAACTTTTGAAATAATTGTGCAGCCTTAATATGATACAGTTAGAGAGTAAAGTCATCTCTTTCTCAGTCATAGATGGAGGGACATCTTAATGCTCCCTATAGTCACTTTGTCCCCAGGGAAAGAACCCCAGTGCTTGTTGGAGTGGCTGGGTGGACCCATAGTTAGTTGGAATATGGTGGCAAGGAGAGAAATCATTGTATAAGTTGGGAACCAGTTCTTGGTTGTGTAGCCCATAGCCTGTCACTAGAGTGACTGACATTTCTAAGGAAATCTGCCGGTCATAGATTCCTTCATACATGTGATTGCCTGTAGGCCTGTAGTACCATTTTAATCACATTGAATGATGTTTTACACTGACCGGTCATTGAATAAATTGAGATGATTAATTAATTTAAAATACATTTTGTTGTTCATATAAAGCAGTGTTTGACATGATGACAAGAGTCATCTGGGTGAAATTATCTTTTGTTCTAATTCCTTAATGAAAACCTTGAGCCTTCTAGATTGTGTTAGGCCTGGATCCCACAGTGTTTATATTTAAATACTGATTCATATGTCTTTGAGCAACAACAGTTTATAACCATTTTAACAAATGTGGAAGTAAACTTCATGACTGTTATTTGTACTGGTACATTATTATCCACTTTATTCACTAATTATGACTTCCCTTCTTTTCATTTAAATTGATTTCTCATTCTGAAACCACAGATTTTACATGAAGAGTCTTGCTTCGCTGAAGCTCATAATTTTCATTTGTTAAAAGAAGGAGAAAGGTAGTTGCTGGTGCTGTGAGTTGGCGAGTGCTAGGCAATACTTATTTTTCATAAAATACAATCTAATACACTTCAGTTAAATTTAAAATTTTATTTCACAATCTTTTATCCCCCTTAGTTGTATTTTGGGTTTCAAACATGACAATATGTTAATGATGGTCTATTGTACTGAAAATTAGTGTTCTGAGAGCTTCCAATTGAACTTGATCCACCACCACTTGCATGAACAAGATGTTCTTATGACTTGGCAGCACTGTACTAAAGCCTATCATTCTGTACATCACACTTGAAACAGCAGACTTTCACTTGTGTGCGCAAAACCTGACGGGGTCCTTTTCATTCCATTTTTAAGAGCACAGTAAAACCACTAGAATGAAACCAACAATTTATATTCACAAACACAAAATTGTGTAAAACTGTGAGAGTTGTGAGTATTGAAGATAGGCGGACATTGGTTTATCATTAGAGTGTGATAATTGTTAGCACACAACTGGCAGCCACCTGTCATCTCATCTGAATTCTAAAGTAGCAACAGATTTTAACTCCTTTTATTTTTGTTTCCTGTGAGAGGGAAAAGTAATGGTACAGTGTTACTAATGAAGAATTCCTTTTGGGGGGCATATAATGCCATACTCGTAAAAGTCAAAATGATGTTGATCAGGCTATATGTTGTTATATCCCAAAAGGTAGAACTTTTCATAACCACTGCTGTAGTTTTGTTACTAATCTTTGAGAATGTTTGCCACTGAGAAGCTTTATCAATATTTTGTTCTGTAGACACACCAATGGTAGAAACTTCTCATGCAGAGGATTGGAGATCTGCATAGACTACTTCCTGAAACGAAATCACAGAGTAGTAGCTTTTGTTCCTCAGTTCCGTAAAAGTTGCCGCCACAGCCTAGATACTCACATACTAGACCGTCTAGAGAAACAAGGTCTTGTTTCATTCACACCAAGTCGGAAGGTTGGAGACCGGCTAGTAATACCTTATGATGACAGGTGAGTTGTAAGATTGTAACTCTTTACACTGTACATGTATATTTTTTGTATCCAAAACTGTGCAAAATTTGCCAGAATGCTTAGAGATGGAGAGGGGATGCATGTCCTGACAACTAGTAAACCCATGGTAAAAGATTCCTTTTATATTTTTTATTTAAATGTAACATTCATTGACAAATTGTACATACTCTTACATGTTTTGACAAACAAATGGGACTGCTGTGTTCATTTCATAATTCATACGTATGTTTTTACAAATTATTGTTAGGTTGTGTGATTTTACATGAAGGTTTATGAAAATGATGTGTCATGGGAAATAATGCTATCTGCTTGTCTTGTCTCAGAAGTAGAATGCTTTCTGAGAAAAGTTCTCCTATTGGTGTTACTATTGCTGCTGCTGTTTGAACTCTTCACTTGTTATTTATTTTATTTATATTTTCTATTTTTCTACAGAACTACTAACCGTTACATAGTTTAACTGTTGCAACTAAAACGGTATATTTTCTGATAACTGGTACCCTATTGTCATGCAAAACACAGCATAAATTATGAATAAGCTATTACTAGCATGTATGAACATGTTTATTTATATTATATAATTAACACAATTATGTGGATTTTGAATTGACGGTACTTGAATTGGAGGTTATCACAGTGGTGCGTATGAGGATTAACGTCTTCTGGAATATAATGCTGTCTAGTCCGTTGAAAGCCAATGGACATGCAGTCACCATCTTCACGGTTGAAGAATAAACCAAGCAAAAGGCCAGCATGAAGAAGGCTGAAAGCGGACCTGTGCTTCCTCTCAAATGTCATCTGACTTTAGTGGGCTAAACAGTGTTATATCCAAGAAGATAGCACCCTTCATATATGAATTTTGTCATATATGCCTGTCTTCCAAGGATCTGGTATTTATATCACAGGTCTGCCTCCACATTTCTGAGGGGTGCAGGGACAGATCTGAAAACTTTGTCGTCTGTTACTTGTCACTTCGCTTGTGACATCATTAAAGGCTGCATTAAAGGGAGAAGAAAAAGTAGTAGTGAAGTCCAACAGAAGCCATTTAGTGGTTAAAAGAAAATGATGTATACGGTGTGTCCAGGATCTGTTAGGACTCATTTTTTTTTTAAATTTTACCCTGCATTGTCATCTGTTGACAAGTTGTGGCATTACGATTCTTGAAGTTTCGGCTGTGGCTGCCTATAATTTCAAAGCGCAAGCGTCGCTGCATCATGTGTTCTGACCCTGAACGTAACAGTACTGTTCTGACACTCGTCGGAAAGTGGCGGTTGAAGACAGAGCCAACATCAAATTTTGTTTGAAGTTAGGCACAACAGGCAGAGAAGCATATGAAATGATGAAAAGTGTGTACAGTAGTGATTGTTTGAGTCGCTCGAAAATTTTTCGATGGCATGCTGTATTTTGTGATGGCAGGGAGGACATTAAAGACGGTCCACAGGCATCAAAGCTGAGAACAAGTCGCGTTGAAGAAAATGTGAAAAAAAGTGACTGAAATCCTTGCATCAGACAGATGTGTTTCTGCAAGACTCATAGAGGAACTTTTGGGAATACAAAAGCACTGTGCATCAAATTCTGACTGAAGGTTTGGGCAAATGGAAGGTCTGTGCGCTGTCAGGCGATGAAAAATATGCCAGAGTGGAACACTGCAAAGACGTGTTATGGTCGGCCCAAAGTGATACAAAATTTACAAAATCGATTGTTACTTGTGACGAGACATGGTATTTTCAAAATGAGCCTCTCACAAAGCGGCAGAGTGCATGCAGCATGGTTGAGCCCAAAGAAGCCAAAACCAAAGAAAGTGTGCATGCAAAAGAGTCAAGTAAAGACACTGCTGTTTTCTTTTATTCCAAAGGAATCGTTGACAAGGAATTTCTGCCAGAAGGTCAAACAGTGAATTCTGATTATTATCTCAGAGTCCTCAATCATTTGTGGGCGAGAATTCTTTGAATTCGACCTGAATATCAAGAGCAAGGTTCCTGGTCACTCCTCCACAACAATGGCCCACCCCACAAATCGAAGATCGTGCACAATTTTTTGGCCAGAAAAGGGATCACAGTCCTTGATCATCCTCTGTATTCGCCAGATTTGGCTCCAGCAGATTTCTGGTTGTTCCCAAAAGTTAAGTTGGCGATGAAAGGAGACCGTCACGACACCATCCAGGACATCCAAAGGGAATCTACCACAGCTTTAAATGCGATTCCACAAAAGGAGTACAGTGATTGTTTTTGAAAACTTTTCAATCGATTCCAGCTATGTATTGATTCAAAAAGAGACTATTTTGAATAAAAAGAGTGAAATTTTGAAAATAATTCATGTCTTGTATTTTTAATGAACACAGTCCTAACAGAACCTGGGCACACTGTGTATATACACAGATACAAAACTGGGATGAAATTCAAGTTCTTCGGGGAGGAAGGGGGACACTGAGACCATCATGGTAAGGAGACATATTCTGAAAGTCATGAAAGTGATGTGAGTCCAGCAACTTAAAAGAGTCATTAAATGTAAGTAACCACCATTAACAACAAATTTGTTCCTAAAATTACAGTGCATATTTTTCTGTATGGACATGTGCAAATGAAATGTGTTAGGAACTATTACTAATTTCTCCTTAATTGTAAATATGAGGAGGGAACTTGACCCAAGTTATGGAACATATTGTGTATATGCTTGTTGTAGGTATATTGTGCAGTATGCTGCTGAATGCGGTGGTGTAATTGTTTCAACAGATAATTATCGAGATCTTCTACGAGAAAATCCTGCTTGGAGAGAGACTATTGAAACGAGGTTGGGAAAGTACAGTAATTGTCCCACATTGTGGATTTTTGTACTAAGTTATCCACATTCTAAATATGGAAGATGCACTTCGACATTCTCATTTAATATTTAATTTAATTTGTATATACAGGATGGTTCAAGTTTTGTGGGTTAATTAATCAAGATGTTGAGTAAATGATTCGTATTAACATGGATCCAGTTTGGAAAGTTCAAGTCATGACATCGTGGAAGTGGGATACATGTGTCAGAAATAATGACATTAATAAAAAATTTTGCCATAACTTAAGTATGAAACTAAAGCAAGCATTATTTAAAAATCGAACACTTTACATGTTGCCAACTACTTCAATACATTATACCCAGTCTTGGAATGAAGTTACAGGCAGACCCTTCGATCAGTTTTGTAACATGTTTCACCGTTAAATAACGCTCTTATTTTCATTTTACATTGAAGTTAATGTGAAATTTTCTAATTAAGAATACTTATTGCTGATATGTTTTAATTTTGTTTTAAAACTTCCATGATTACTTAAATTTTCAACATTAGAACCATGTTAAGAGGACTCTCTTTTTATTCAAAATTACTTTATTAATATACCCACAAAGTTTGCCAGGCTCCCGAATCATCATCTTGTAAAGGTTTCATTTTCATGGTTGCCGGTGCCCTTGAAATTACATTAATACTGCAGAATCCTTCTTGGATATGTTACAAAATAATGCAGTTAAAAAGATATGTGTAAGAGGACTATTCAAGGGCTTCTCAGTGCTAATCAATTAGGGATATGGCTCCTGTCCCGCAACTCTTTTAGGCTATCATGTGCAATGAACCCCCCATTTATAGTGTACCCCAGTTAAGATTTTCCTTAATCTAACATTCAGTTTCAGTGATTCCAGGTGTCAGTATTAAAGTTTCCTTCATCTAAGATTTCCCTCAATTTAGTGTTCAAATCCATACATCCTTAAAGAAACCTTTATTATTAGTATTATTAGTATTAGTATTGTTGTTGTTGTTGTTGTTGTTGTTGTTATTATTATTATTATTATTAAAGCAAATTTTTTAACTTTGATCCAGATGAGTAAACTATAAATTGCGTCAACTGTAATTTTATGGTCACATGGAAAACTTCTATAACGTGTTTCACTATTCAGATTTTTCTCTATGCAGTACTTTAATTAACTCTAATGTTTGATCTTTCCAATTTTATTAGGAAAAGGCTATAATAAATATAGATTTTCTTTCTAATCATATTTTTACGTCTTATTTGTTCCATATATGACAACTTCAGTAGTGAGAAGTTTTAAAATCTGATATGTGTTACGGTCCAAATCTCATTTCATTGTAACATATAGTTTGTCAGAGATTTGGTCATTACTAAATTGTTGTGTATTAACCCTTTAACAGATAATGATAATCATAGAAGCGACCCATTTTAACATTAATGAACTCCAGCTTTCACCCACAGGGAGTACTTGTTAGTTTCAGTGGGTTATTAGAATAAACAATGGCACTTCTTGAATGTTATTAGCTGAATTAACTTCATGATAGATATATAATGAATATTCTGTGATGTAAAAGCCGAGGTTTTATATGTTATGATATTTTTGGTCTTTGAAGGGTTAAGGAATTTGTATTAGTCTGAGTCATATTTCAGTCTCTTATAAGTTTAATTAATTTGTCTGTCAAAAAATATTGATCGAAATAGGAAATTTACGCCAATCTTCTGAATACCTGGATGAGGAGACCCAGGAGAGAAGCTTGACGAAATAAGTTCTAAATAGGTCTAAATAAATGTTTCCCAGTCCACTGCCAATTTTCACCAGTCTGAAACATTCTACTGCCAAAGAAAATAAACCAATGAATATTTTAAGTGAAAGCTTCCTGAAATGTAGTGCCAAAGAGCTCTTTTAAATAGTTTTTCTGTTGAAAGATCAAATACGAAGGATTTGTATTTTCTTTCCATTCATATCTAAGATACACACACACACACACACAATCTGTTCAGTTATAACAGTCCACATTAAATAATTTAAATACTTTATCAACCATTATTATAGCTTGTTTTAGGAACACTTTTCTGAGCCATGACTCTTGCTGATTTTTGAGAGATTGAAACTCGAGCATTTTTCAGTGGAACTTCTGATACAAATATAGTGTTTTGAATTAATGTTGATATGCAGATCTTAATGCTGTTTTATTATGAGCCAGAATTTTCACTTTTCTGTCTGTGATTGTGCAGGTTGCTAATGTTCACCTGGGTAGGAGATATACTCATGTTCCCTCAGGATCCGTTGGGCAGAAATGGACCAGACCTGGAAAGGTTTCTCAGATTTCCATAGTACAATCACAATGAAGACTAATTGCCTTCTGAAAGAAATAATTATGTTGTTAATATGAAAGGTACAAATCAGAAACAAAAAATATAAGTTATGGTCATGAAATATTGTTACACTTTGCATATTTGTGTAGTGAGACCAATGTTTTCATAATAATAATAATACTAATTGCTTAGAATGTGGGCAGTTCCCACAGGTGTATTCAGTTACAGTTAAAACATTACAGTGTCACCAAAGGGAATTGCATTAGTGTGTGATATTTTTGTGGAGGTGAACTTTTGCTAGACTGCATGGGATTACATCCCAGAAGATGGTACTTTTCATAGTTGCCACTGTGAAAATCTCACATTCAACAATATTTTTATTTTTTTTTTAGATTAAAAATTTAAATCCTACAAGACTGAAAATATAATTGTTTTTCAAATAAAAATTAGCTTCTAATACTGGCCATGATTGTAAAATTGATGAAAAATTTGTAATCAAAGGCTCAACTTTAACAGTGTTTTTTTAACCATGAAGTTAGGGGAAGTATAAAATTGCCAACAAGTGTATCTGTTTATTTTAATGGTTACATAGTCTTACAGCCCAAGTTGTTTCAGCCTTAATTGGCATCTTCAATGAAGGGCAACCAATACTAAGGGAAACTTAACATTTCCACACACACACAGCACTAAAGGGATAGTCGTTTAAAAGACAGTTGTGAGCTATTCATATGTAACAAAGTCTTTGGTATTTTGTCAACAATTTACCAGTAAAGCATTTACGCCCATCCATCATTGGCAGGCGTATTATTAATTTCAAATGTGATAAGCATTTACAATTATAGTGAAACCTCTCTATTCATTATTCCCCTATACATTCTTTTCTTGCAGATATAATTTATCTTTTTCTGGTTGCTGTAAATCCTATAAACAGTTTATAGTGATAGTGGATGCACCATTCGTCCAAGTACTGTTTTCCCACATCAGTTAATCAGAATCCTTGGTTGTAACTCACAACATTCACAGAATTACTGTTTTGGGGAAAAAGATGCCAAAGGTAACATGTTTTTGAAGTGCCTAGTAGCTGTTACCCACCCGCACTACTGCGTGTGAGTAAAGTAGCAAAACTGCAAGAAGTTTTTTATAACTTGTAGTAGAGAGAATGTCAAAATTTCTGCCAAAGGGAGGAACTGAAGAAGCATAAGCCATGGTTTGATGAAGGATGCTCAAAATTATTAGACCAAAGAAAACAAGCCAAATTGCAGTGGTTACAGAATCCAAGCAAAATAAATCAGGAATTTTTTTTATTGCTAGTGGGGTGAGACTAAGTCCCTTGTACTGCGGCCGCTTCTGGCCTATTGTACCAGCCCCAGATGACAGGTGAGGGTGATTGTGGAGCTATTGACGGAATGAAGATTGGCAGGGGAGACCGAAGTACTCAGAGAAAACCTGCCCCAGCGCCACTTTGTCCACCACAAATCGCACTTGACGAGACCCGGGATCGAACCTGGGTCGCCATGGTGGGAAGCCAGCGACTAACCACTTGAGCTATGGCACAGCCATAATAAATGGGGATAGTGTGAACAATATAAGATATTAAACCAGCAAGTATATCAGGAATAGAACGAGGGAATATCTGAAAGACAAAATTGTTGAGCTTGCAGTGAACAGCAAGGACAAGAACGTTAGAGACCTGTATAGAGAAATAAATGACTTTAAGAGGGGTTACCATCCTAGAAGTAACTTAGTGAGGGATGAGAATGGTGATCTGCTTGCAGATTCCCACAACATTTTGAACTGGTGGAAGAACTACTTCTCTCAATTACTGAATGTACATAGGGTCAGTGATGTTAAGCAGATAGAAATACATAGAGCTGAGCTGTTAGTATCTGATTCTAGCCCTTTTGAAGTTGAAATTGCTATTGCAGAGTTGAAAAGGTATTGATCGCCAGGTAGTGATCAAGTTTTGGAAGAACTTATTCAAGCAGGAGGCGAAATATTATGTTGTAAGATCCATAAGCTAAATACTTCTATTTGGTTTAAGGAAAGATTGCCTGCTCAGGGGAAGTAGTCTACTATTGTACCAGTTCACAAAAAGGGTGATAAAACTGACTAGTAATTATCGAGGGGTATCATTACTATCAACTTCATACAAAATTTTGTGCCATATTCTTCTCTCGAGGTTAAGTCCATACATAGGTGAAATTATTGGGGATCATCAGTATGAGTTTCGATGTAACAGATCATATATTTTGCATTCGTCAGATACTGGAGAAAAAATGGGAGTACAATGAGATAGTACATCAGCTATTCAAAGACCTCAAGAGAGCCTATGAATCAGTTAGGAAGGAAATATAATACAATATTCTGAAAGAGTTTAGGGAACCCATTAAACTAGTTAGGGTGAATAAAATGTGTTCAAACGAAACATGTGGCAAAGTTCATATAGATAAATATTTGTCTAATAATTTCCCTATCCAGAATGGTCTAATACAAGGAGATCCTGTATTGACACTGCTTTTCAACTTTGCTTTAGAATATGCCATTAGGAAGGTGCAGAAAACCAGGTGGGACTAAAATTAAATGGGACATATCAGCTGTTTGTCTGTGCTGATGATGTGGATCTACTGGGTGATGATAAAGCTACCATAAAGAGAGATGCACAAACTTTAATTGATGCTAATAAGGATGTTGGTCTGGAAGCAGACAAAGAGAAAACTAAGTGTATGGTACTGTCTTAGAAAAATTAAGTGCAAAATAATGACAAAGATAAGAAACGGCTGTTCTGAAAATGTTTCACGGTTCAGATTTTGGAAACAACGATAATAAATCAAAACCTGAATCAGGAAATTAAGAGGAGGTTGAACTCGGGTAATGCTTGCTACCGTTCAGTCCAGAACCTTTTGTATTCTTGTCTGCTGTCCAAAAACATAAAAATTGGAATATACAAAACTATAATTTTGCCTGTGGTTCTGCATGGGTGTGAAACTTGGTTTCTGACATTAAGGGAGGAACATAGACTGAGGGTGTTGAGAATATTTGGACTGAAGAGATAAGTGACAGGAAGTTGAAGAAAACTGCATAATGAGGCGCTTTATAATTTGTACTCTTCTCCAAGTATAATTAGAATGATCAAGTCAAGAAGGATGAAATTGGCAGGGCATATAGCATGAATGGCAGAGAAGAGGAATGAAGTAGGATATTGGTAAAGTCAGATGGAAAGAGACCAGTGGGAAGACCAAGGCGTAGCTGGATGAACAATAATAAAATTAATATTAGATAAGATGAGATGATGTAGATTGGATCTGGCTTAGGATAAGGACCTTTGGAGGGCTCATGTGAACATGGTAACTGCACAGTTTGCTCCTAAAGGAGGACTCTTCTTTGTGATTGAGTGTAGTAGCTGTAACGTTCCCATAAAGACCATTACATCCGTAATACTTCGCTTTCGTCAAGTACTGAATGTAGGAAGGAAATCGGGAAGTTGTATGACAGCAGATTTAAGAATCGTGTCAGCTCATCATATTAGTTAGATCAGCATACGAGTTCGGCATTTTAGATAGTGTGCATTTAGTCTCGTTATTTATGTTGTTTTCCTGTTGAAGCATGCAAGAGAGAATTTGTAAAATTATTTATTGCTAACCTTGTGTCAAGTACCCGTTCCAGAAAGGGGGAGGGGGCAGTGTAGTACAGAAAGGCAGATGTTATTGTCATACGTTGTTATCGATTGTGCACTCGGCGCTGGTGAATATTTTCTTTGTGGTTGTTACCTAAGTCTGGAGATAGATGGCAGCAGTCATTACAAGAACCAGCAGGTATCCTACAGGCCGGATGGGCTGCATTAGCGAAATCAGAAGAGAGAAAACCCCGGGGAAGTGTTCGTAAAAGTGGGTCAGACGCCATCACAGAAAAAGTGCCAGGAAAAGGACAGCACGTGATTAAGTAGAAGAAAGCCGATTTGAGAGAAAACGGAAGTGACGTATAAAACATAAACAACAACCACAGAGGGCGCACACTATACACCAACATGATACCTACAACAGGAAATCCAGAAACAGAAACATGTGACATCTGTCGGAAGTAAAAGACAACGACAACGCCATAGCGTGCGAATGCTGTGGCAGATGGCAGCACTGGGAATGCAGTGGACTAACCAAAGGCGAATTCGAGACGGTGAAAAGAAAAAAACTGCAAGCTAACATGGCTGTGCAGCAAATGCAAAATGCAAATTACGCGAAAGCAAAATAGTGAAGAAGAACCCATCCTAAAACTGGCAGAGAAAGTACAAGAAATGCTTAACTACATGGAGAACGACCTTCAGAAAAAAATCCGAGAAGAGATAGTAAACAACCTACCCGCTGAACTGGAAAAGCTCAAAAACCCGGAACCAAGGACGGAAAATACCGGAGCCACAAATCCCCCAGCAAAGCCGCAGAGCAACCACAACCGCAACGAAGGGGAAGAAACACAAGATGAAAACCCACCAAAAAAATCATACAGAGACAGCGTCATAACGGAAACAAGAAGAAAAATAAATGCACCCCCACCTCCCAGGAGGGAAGCAACACTATATGGGACAAAAGAAGACGATGAAGAACTTCAAGCTGCAGTAAAAATGGCCTGGCTCTTTGTAGGCAGGCTCAGAGAAAACACAAACATAGACACAATCAAGAATTATATCAGAAAGAACGGGATAACAGACGGAGTTGAATGCGAAGAAATACAAACTAGAGGAAGAAGCAAAGCCTTCCGACTGGGGCTCCACTTCAATCGACTATCCGAAGTAGAAGCGCCAGAATTCTGGCCCAAAGGAGTGCGAGTCGAACGCTTCCGATTTCGCTCACGACCATTCCAAGGCACCGACCTCAACGCTTAAGGACGGCAATAATCAAGAAACGACCAACAGCAAAAGAACATTGGATCTACTCCTGTGGAATGTGGAAGGATTAAAGTCAATAATGCAAAACGCCCCGGATACAATAACACAAAATCATGACATTATAGTATTAACCGAAACCTTTCTAACAGAATACACAGCCATACCAGGATATTACACAACGCACAGTTATGCAGTCCAAAAACAAGAAGGAAGACCTAGCGGAGGAGTCTCATGTATTTATAACAACAAAATAGGGGAAAAAATAGCGGAGTATAAAGAAGACAACATGGTACACATAACAACAACATACCTAGAAATAATAGGTCTATATATTCCACCCCAAACCAACATAGAAGATGCAATAGAGAAGATAGCAAGTGCAGTCAGTAGACTAGACCACAAAAAACCAGCCATACTCGCAGGGGATATAAACTGTAGAATTGATAAACCCGACAAAAAAACCCAAGAGGTTACGAAGCTACTACAGGAAGAAGGATTCTGTCTAGCAAATAGAACAGATGTGATGACATACATAGCGCCGAATGGATGCAGCTGTATTGACCTTGTGTTCAAGAAAGGAAACGAGATAGAAATAGAACAACAAACAATAAAAACATCATCAACTTCACCACTAAGGAAACACCTACCGATAAGCACAAGATTCAAATATGGGGGCAAAGAACAGCAAATGAAAACAGAAACAAGCACCCTGAAAAAAACAAGAAGAATCCAAAAATACATATTGGGAAAGCAAGAGGACATCATGCAAATAATAGAACAAAACGAAATCGACGATGCCGCACGGAAGATGACTGAAATACTGCAGAAGGCTGCCCCAACAGCCAAAGAGAGGAAGGCCAAAATATGGTTCGATGCAGAATGTTACAATATGAGAAAAGCAACAATAAAGGCACTACACAGAGCAAGGCAAACTCAGAATAGCAACGAACTAAAAGAATATGCAGAAAAAAGAAAAAGATACAAAGCACTGATAAAAAGTAAGAAAACGGAACACATCGAAAATGAAGGGAAAATGATAGCCGAAGAAGCCGAGAAAGACCCGTTCGTGGCAACCAAAACAACCAAGAAACAAATGCCACAAGAAGTAAATATAAAGATATGGGAACAGCATTTCACCAAGATACTTAGCCAAAATACACCCACCAGCAGCCCCCAAACAGACGACGTCAGGGCATGTCAACCAATCTCACATGCAGAAGTATTAAAAGCTATAAAAAGAACACAAAACAAGAAAGCCGCAGGACCAGATGGAATATATTATGAACATATAAAAGAAGCAAAGGACATTATATCAAAACCACTAACGGGACTATACAACAGATGCCTCGAAACTGGATCCATACCACAAATTTGGAGAAAATCCCTGATGAAAGTACTGTACAAGGGAAAAGGAGACCCAGAAGACCCGAACAACTACCGAGGGGTAGCGTTAGAAAACACAATGTTCAAGATACTGACCAAAATCCTAACTGACCGTTTAACAACAACAGTAGACTCACTTATCCCGGAAAATCAATTTGGGTTTCGGCCACAAAGATCAACGATACAAGCCATCACAGCACTACTAGAAGCAATTGAAGAAGCATTAAGACACCCACGAGGAAAATACCATGTAGTTTTCATAGATTATAGCAAGGCATTCGACCTACTCGACAGGAGTATAATCACAACAAAACTGAAGGAAATAGTAGGAGAAGAGAACACAACAACAAGACTAATAGGAGACATCCTCAAAAACAATAAAATCATAATAAAAGACACGGTGTCAGAATCCGAAGAAATAACCCAAACAAATGGCGTACTGCAAGGGGACCCCCTCAGCCCATTACTATTCAATATTACAACAGCAGACTTGGCCAAAACAATGGAAAAACACACAGGGGTACAATTAATTATGTATGCTGATGATATGACAATTGGAGGAAAAAATATTGAGGAGCTACAGGAAGCCTCCACTACACTGGAGAACTGGGCAAGACAAAACAAACTTCAAATAAATAAAAACAAAACCCAACTAATGACTTTCAGAAAAGGAGGAAGAAAAGGAAAAAATGATGAAATAAAATTTAATGGAGAACACATAAAATCAGTAAAACAATATAAATACCTCGGCTTAACACTGCAGTCTACATCTACAACATTCACAGCACACATAACAGAAAAATGCACAGCAGCCATCAAAGCTATATACACCATCCGAAACCTGCAACTATTATCGCTAGAAACAGCAATGAAAATATTCCATGCAAAAATTTGTCCCATACTACTATATGGCATAGAGATAACCTGGGAAAAACTATCCAAACAAAACCTGCGGAAAATAGAACAAGTGAAGGCAAGATACCTTAAACTAGCGCTAGGGCTTCCTAAGAACACACAATCCATATTAACATACGAACTCTGCAAGGAAAATTTCCTATTAGAAGAACTCAGATATCAACTGCCAAGCACAAAAAACTCAGAGGAAGTTATCAAAGAAAGAAAACAAAAAAGAGAGGAAATATGGGAAGAGTTCTACAGCACTGATGCAAGGACTGACAGAACGTGGACAGGACCCAATAGAAAATTACGACACACAATTACTAGGTTGGCAACACACGGATTCCACCACAAGATATGCAAGAACGAACGTTTCCACGAAGCAAATGACGCGTGTGTGTGTAAACACTGTGATAAAAAGTGCAGTAGATACCACATTACCATATGCAAAAACTTAACCACATCAATAACCGAATACAGTCGCGAATAGAAAACAATTACTCTATGCACATTATGCGCATTCCCTTATTATTAATACCTATCATATGAAGGGGCCGGGGAGAGTTGTGTCCGTTGGTGAATTCCCGGCGGCTAAGTTGGCAGCTGTGGCTGGTAGTAACACTGGGTTGCACACGGTTGGTCCGGTTCGTGGTCAGTGGCGTCAGTGGTGGTAAGATTGTTTTTTTTGTTGTGAATTTGGTGTTTGTTGTGTCTTTAGTTTTGCTATTGTTGTTCTGCTGCCGCTTTTATGGTTATATTTTGAGGTGTATTCTGTTCTGGAGTATAGAAATACATATGTATGCAATATGTCAGAACCACAAAAGGGAAAGGACAGCTTAATGAAGCTGTTACTGTCCACAGTTCCTGGTAGCACTACAATGCCGTCAGTACCAGTAAGTACATTAACAGTCATTTAATTGTTTATGGTGTATTTTTTATACACTTTTGATAATTCTTTGACTTGAAAGTTGGCTGCTAGTAACGTTGTGGTATGAGTAACCATTCAGTAGATTTAATATAACAATCTAGTTTAATGTTTCATTGATTTTCTCAGTAATGTTTTGAAGTGTTGGCAGGTAATATCTCGATCCGATTGATTCCTTTACATATTCTTTCATTTTCAAGAATTAAATTTAATTTGTTTCAGTAAGGTTAAGTTAGACGGTTATCGTTACAGCTAGTATTCAGAAGGAAATCTTGGATCCTGCAAACGGACAGGGGTTAGGCATGTTGGAAGGGTTTCTAGGTTAAGATATAACAGTATGAGTACAATGCATGACAGTGTATTAATTTTGCCAGTTGTTTCCCATTTACACTTTTTCTGCAGAAGTATCTCATGGTCAAATCCCCATACAAGCTGGTTCTTATATGTTAAGATTAAGCTATATTATTCTGATGGGTAAGAATAAGTTATAATTTTCAATGAATGCATCCTGTTATGTATCATCTTATTGAAAACCGTCAAAACACAACAATCAATAATACTCGTGAGTAGCTCTAGGAGATACTTTTGCTACATGTTTCAGCATTCAAAAGGCTATCATCAGGCAAATACATTAAACTTTTCATTATTGATTGCAGGTCAAATATAAGATACAGTGTTTAAGACTTCAAGACTTAAACTTTTATTGTAATTTGTATTTTATATTCACTCATATCATTTTATACCGTTGTATATACTTGGATGTTTAGCACTGAATCTTGTATTTGACATGCAATTGATAACGAAAAGTTTAATGTATTTGCCTGATGATGGCCTTTTGAAGGCCAAAACATGTAGCAAAAGTATCTCCTAGAGCTACTTACAAGTATTATTGATTGTTGTTTTATGAAGTTTTCAGTAAGAAATAAGAATAATTTATTTCAGGGGAGAGATGATTGTTCACTTGTAACGAGTCTCAAAGGTGTTTAGCATTAATATTCTTAATTATTTTCTGGATTTGAGTTCAGATACATTGTAAGAACAAGATAGGGGTGAATGCTGGTTTGGACCATATTTCTTTTCAATTGGCATTGAAAATTAGAATTTGTGGAGATATGCACTGAAAAGTTTTGTATCAGAAAATGATAATTTATGCTATTAGAGCAAAATAAACTCCTTTTTAAGGGAACGCAAAAGGCTTAAGTAAATTATCTATTGGTGTGTATTGTTTGAAAATGCTGTGATCTGTAGGTAGTAGCATTTAATGCAAGATTATAAATGCTTTTGCAAATTTTGCTTCATTGTAAAGAGTGGGTTAGATGTGCTAGTTTAAAATATGTGAATAAGGGCATTGGGCAGAGTTGGATTAACTGAAGCTTTTGCTTTGTTAACTAATTTGTTGTTGATTTCATAGTCATTGAAGCACATTATTTTAGTAATCTCAAATGCAATAATAAGAACAGAAATAGTGTTTTAAAAATTTGTTTTATATACTCGTAAATACATGTATTGATTTGTTTCCAGAGATTCTAAATTCTGTGTTCTTCAAGTCATACCGGTCCTTCTGATATTTTATATTGAGATATGCTAACCATTTTGTTCTTAAACTCTTCAAATTATTGCTATGATGTCATGATTCAGATTCCTTCACCAGCATCTTCAGTAGCTGGTCATCTGAGTGGAACTCCAAACTCGTCGAATTTACCGAGTCCTGTGAGTGAGAGTGGTGAGGACAGCTGTACAAAGCTCAGCAGTTACTTGCATCAGTTAGCAGGCCAGTCAGTGAGTAACTGAGAAGTTCTAAATGAGAAATGTTGTTTCTGATTGAAATGGACTACTGTATAGGTCTTAATTTCCTTGTATTTCTGCAGGAACGAGAATTGAATGTTGTTCTGATGGACCACTCATATTCTAAACCTTGGAATTGGCGGCCAGAAAATACATATGCGAAACCTACCAAGACACTTTTTGTTCAGCCTTGTGCAGCTTTGGCACAGACAAGCCTTTCATCGTAAGTGAATTATGTAGCTGAAGATAGTCTGTAGTAGGGCACATTTCTGTACATTTCCAGCCACTGTAAGTTAAGAATCTGTAAAATCGTGACGTGTGGTACTCATGGAATTGTATTCACGAAAACCTGTATACACTGACAAAAAATGCAAATTCTTCATGAAATTGTAATGTGTATAGGTTTTTGGTTAACAGAACCCACTGCCAGTCAACCTGAGTTGATGTGAAGAGTGATTCCCCTGGTCCCTGAGCTGCCAGATGAATTTCATGTAGCTCTCAGATGAATGCACTATAGTATTTGGCTTGCAAAGATAACTACTAAAAGATCTCTGGTGTGATAATGTGAAATTTCTGTGAACATATATATAACCAGGATCAATTACATATTTCAAATCTTTTCAGATTTTTTCTTTTAAGGTGGCCCCTAAATCAGTAGAAAAATTATTTCAGTACTTCAGATCAAAGTAGTTCACTGACTTCAAGAAAATCGTTAGTATAATATATAACATTGTATAATGTCGGTGAAGTTAGTGCCAACTTTTTGCAGAAGGAGGGTGTCGCATTGTCAGCGCAACAGATTCTCACGGCCATTAATCTCAGTTTTCTAGACCAGAGCCACTACCTTTCCTCAGTTATCCTCATGAGGCTGAGTGGACCCCATTCCAGACCCACTGCTTCTCAGAAAATCTGGTAGTGCCAGGAATCGAACCTGGGACCTCTGGATCTGTAGCCAGGAACACTGACCATTAGACCACAGAGGTGGTCACATTGTGTAGTATGAGCTATTAAATGTGCACATGTTAAGAGAGTCCCTTTTCACCATGGCATGGCACATCCTCAGGTTGTGAATGGATCAGGTTACCTTCAGATGTGGAGGATAGTTGCAAGTATATTGAATAAGCAGATTGGCAGCTGGCAAGGGGTAGTCCTCCAGCTTGGGTTTTGGATATAGGGCTAACAACTCCTGAATGTAAAAAAATATGTTTGTTATGAAATATCACTAAAGGCCACAGACTTGGATGGAGCCTTTGGATATATTACCTAAACTAAGGAAAATGTGTATGAGATTTGGTATGTGGAACATAAGAAGTCTATAGGGCAAGTTCGCTCATGACAGTTGCAAAAGAAATGATCTTAGAGAGATGGAAGTGGGTGGTATGGACTGGATTGGTCTGGCTTAGTATTGAGACTGGTGCAGGGCTCTTAAGAACACGGTAATGAACCTTCGGGTTCCATAAAACTTTGGGAAATCTTTGAGCAGCTGCGCTACTGGTGGCTTAAAAGTAGCAGCATACATGACCCAGTTTTCCTGCTGTCTCATTGGGGTCTGCTTGATTTATAATGCATTGTATATTGTATATACCTAGTCAAATGAAATGCAACTTTGTATGCTACACCAGTGGATAAATTTGTCCTACTTTATTGTTGATATTAATATTAGTGTTTGTGATTACTACCTTCATTGTTTTATTTGAACTCAGATAACTGCTTGGTCCTGTTACTTAAATATGTGACCAGAGGCCACTTATTTATATTATACTAAACACAGTTATCTGATGTTAGAATTGAAGAAGAAGTGGATGTCGATGAAGATGTTGCTGTACCAGTTCCTCCATACGACATGAGCAAAGTTAGACCTCTGATGCAAGAGTGTGAAACACACGTGAACTTTGTAAGACGTGAAGAAGATGTTGACGCTGACGAATGGGAAGAACGAGTGTCACGGTATGTAATATTCTACTGCAGAATCAACTGCATTATACAGTATGTTAGGAATGCATATTATGGAACTCGTTTGGCTTATGAGACAATAAATGCCATTTAGTTTCTGCCCTGAGATGTATAAATTTGAGACTTTATCTGTCAGATGCATTTCTCCCATACTTACATCAAATCAAATATAAAGTTTGAACTTGGTGACTGTTGCAAAAGCCTTTTTCTTCTCCATCCTTAGTAAACCCTAGTTAAACTGTGCAATGGGCATGATTTGCTCTGTAAACAAATGCCATCTGGTGAACATGGAAACCACCTTCTTTGTTCCTCTTGCCTCCAGCTAGTGATGACCTCTTAGTGGATGTGATGTTAAGTGCTTCAATTTTTTCATGGTAAACCATGAGATTACATGTTTGGTCATAAGAGAGGCAGTGACAATAACTGAATATTGGTAAATCCAAGAAGGATTGCACAAGACATTCATTTGATACCAAAATAGAAGATCCACATGAGTTTGTTATTCAGTTTTGATATTCATACTTTTTAGTCTCAGAAAATGGCATTTAATTTCTTGACCATACTGTTAAGACCCTGATCTTGTCATGGGCCAGTATGTTTTCCCCAAACCGTTGCACAAATAAACCCCTTATTACAGCCACAAAGCAAGCAGAATCCCAGTTACTGATATAAAACTGCTGACTTGTATAGTCATGTGATCCAACATGCACCAACTTGCCAGTCTTTTTTGCACAAAAACTTACGTTAGGTTCCTGGTCTCATACATAAAAGAAATTCTGTTCCTGTTGTTATCACTGCAATTTTTATGGTCGTTGTTTTGCTTCTTATAGAATTGTCATTTAATATGTACACACAATTGTACAGTGTTACCTTGGAAAGATGAGATAAATGTTTTGGATACCAGTTGCTGTATCGTACGTTGCAGTGTTAATTGGACTCCAGTTCAAAATCGTTTATTCAACAAGATGGTAAGATTACTGCAAGCGGACCGTTTGGCAAGATTAGCTCAAGCTGGAAACTGGAATGAACCAGTGCTTCGTCGTATCACAGTAGACAAGACAGTGCGCAGAATACGCCAAATGTTGGCAAGTGTGGGCTGGGATATACGACTCACACAGTGGCTTCATGCAACTCTGATTGAGAATCTGAGTCGACAGTATCTTGCTGCCTATCTTGATGTTCTTCAGGTGAGTACTAAATGATTGGTCATAATAGGTTTTAATTTCCACCTGGAACTGTTTTGTTTACAGCATAATCTTGATATAATGAAAATTTATAAGATTTATAAAAATGCTTGTTATAATGAGACCCATAAAGGGTAAGGCTATCCCTGTAACAGGCCATGGTGGTCCATAGGATTGTGAGATATCGAGGCTCCCCCATTTTCTAGACATTAAGGTCAGAGATGACAGTGAGGTCAGCCGTACGCATCAGCCACCCTATACCCCCAGGATGATTCCTGGTTCTTATTTCTGTTAGAGGCTGAGTCAACCTCAGGGCTATAGTGTGGCTGAAAGGATTAGGTCAGTTGAAACATTCAGAGACCTCATCAGGAATTGAGTCGATGACATTTCTATTTGTAGCCTACTGCCTCAACCAACTACCCTACCACGTGCACCTGTAATGAGTACTCGTAATATCCAAAAATTATTGAGATATGTAATCTGCCCAACTTCTAATTAAATATTTTAATGTAAGACACTAAGGTTTAAAAAATAATGCAAATGTGTCAAAATTTGTTTTTCTGGCATGTTCATAATGAAAAGTTTCAGATTTGTACCCATTGTCCTTCCTCATGCAGGTGCCATTGCAGTAGAAGTTAGTTGAATTTGTGATTGTATTACAGTATATCTGTCCTAAATCATTCACCTGTCGATCTGTTATGTCACCAAGGAATACTGTCACACAAGAACTAAAGTGAAAACATACTGTGGCATGCAGACCCATTACTTGACAACGGCCCGTAAATGAATTGAGGAACAGTGTTTTCTGTGCTGTCCATGCCAAATTGTTCTGATCGGAACAGTTAGCGAGGAATGAGTTCAGACAGTCAGTGTAATGGAGTCAGTCAGTTGGTGAGTTAGTCAGTATGTTAGATAACCGCTGGAGTTCAGTTAAGCTGGTAGCTGAGACCGGGGACAGTTCGGGAACCCAGAGGAAGGAGAATGTCTGCCATTGGAAGCTGCTACCAAGCAACAGCTTGTGAAGACTGTAACAGTCTGAGAAGCCCTAGTATGCCCTAAAGTGATTTGTGAAATATGTAGAACAGTGAGAGCATAATTCTGACTTCTAGTTATGAGTTGTAAGAGTTCAGTAAATCTGATTACCAATCCAAACCATGCCTATATTCCAGAAAAATCATGTGACAGTATTCTTTTGACTTTGTATTGGGTTTCTCATGTAACCAAGAGATTCATCTAACCGGAAATACCATTCCCCCACACATACCAGGTAGCAGGGAGTTTATTGTATAGAAGTTTTTAAGAAAAGTACCCCCTTGCTCTTCTTAGTTTTATTCTTTTCTTTACTCTTACACTAAAATAGCCGGTTAACTATATTTCAAATTTCTGTTTGTGGTGAATACTTTGGATATTGCAGAGATCGTCAGCCAGCAAAATAGGAGCCGTTGAACACGAGAGCCCAAGAATAGAGGATGATTCAGACCTCTTGTTGTTGGGGAGGTCCCTTAGACCTGAAAATGAAAATAACATTTATCTCAGATTCGCCTCCATTTCAGAGTTACAGCATGTTTATCTTGATATTGCTACTGTGATCATTTGACTGGGGCCTCCACACAGAGATCATAGAAGTGGACAGCTGAAGAAGATTTGAGGTTTTCACGGCGGTGACTATGAAGAAAGCAGTCTTCTGGGATGTGGCACCATGTAGATGTGGTGTTAACCAACGTTTTGGAGGAACATATCGCCTCCATCTTCAGGGTAGAAGGAAAAATAAGAAATCCACAAGCGAAGAGACCGTGAGAACCGGTACAAGCAACACCACATCTACATGGTGCCACATCCCAAAAGACTGCTTTCTTTAGCTGAAGAAGAGTTAGAATCAGTAGTACCGGTAACAAGAATAGTGGCAACAAAAACACCTTGATTTACTGATACATAGTTTGCAGACACACATTTCATGTATGGTTCTTCTAATGGAAATTCTCTCAATGCAGTGAGGGAATATCAACATTGATATCTGGAGCAGAGACATCCTTACCAACATGTGTTTGAAATGGTGCATTGTAATCTGAGAGAAACAGGCACTCTCATGTCACTTGCATGTGTTGGCCATGGAATACATAGTGTGCAGGATGAGGCTTTGTTGTATATCTTAACACAGTAACCCATCAACCAGCACCAATTACTTTTATTCTGCAACAGGACTTTCTCAGAGTGCAGCATGGCACACTATGCGTGAGAGCCAGTTGTATGCTGTCTAAGTACAGCCAATAGAAATTTTGCAGCCGGGAAACAAACATCTCTGTCTCTAGTTCTTGCACTGGGTGCTAGTCATTATTGTGAAAATCCCCCACCTTCTGTGCCAAATGTTGTGGACTGATGAGACAGAATTTCCAAGAAGTCTACACAACTTGCAGGCATGGGCAGTGGAGAATCTTCATGTTACTTGTCACTCCTCATTCCAGCAAAGATTAAGCGACAGCATTTGGGCCAGAATCATGGTTGAATACATAATTGCACTGCCTCTAATACAGGAGTGTCTTGGTGGAGTGCAGTGTGCTGATATCCATGAAGAAATACCTCCACCTTTATTGAAACGTGTTCCTCTACATTTGCACAAGAGCATGTGGTTTCAGCATGATGATGCCTTTCCCCATTTTGAATGCCAAGTGTACAGTTGGCTTGAAAACAACTTTCCAGGCAAATGGATTGAGCATGGAAATCCACTCACTTGACCTTCATGTGCTTCAGGTCTGAGCCCCTAGATTTTTATGTGGTTGTGATGATCTCATTAATTTAATTAAGTACATTGACGTGGCTACCGCAGACATTAGGAATCTGCCTGAACAACTAATTACTGTCAGGCAAATGGATTGAGCATGGAAATCCACTCACTTGACCTTCATGTGCTTCAGGTCTGAGCCCCTAGATTTTTATGTGGTTGTGATGATCTCATTAATTTAATTAAGTACATTGACGTGGCTACCGCAGACATTAGGAATCTGCCTGAACAACTAATTACTGTCAGGGGCTCAATTCAACGTTGCTGTGAGGCATGAGTTCAGGGGCAGAGGACATTTCAAACACCTGTTGGGAAGTACACTCAGTACTTTGACAAGTCTGCACCACATGATTAGAATGTTTTATAAAATAGGTCCTGTGAAGTGTGAATTGAAAGATGCTCCAAAAAGGAGAGATTTTTTTTTCTTTCTTTCTTTAATTGCAACCAAATAGATTAGTTGGCATGTTAAAAAAATTATCTCCATGTAATAATAGTCAGGCATCATAATAATACAGAGAGACCAACATCAAAATGTCATAACTCCCTAACAGTGGTTAAAAAGAAAACACTTTACATTTTCAGCAGCAGTTGATCCCTCTAACAACCTCCCTGAATATTATTCTAGAGCTCTGAATCACTCTGTGTAACAGGAGGCAGATGACTGACTCTGTGTGTGTGTCCTTATGTTTTTCTCATGCTCTTTCCATGGAAATGAATTTTCATGTACTTCAGAGATGGCAACACTGTCCTTAAATTTATGTTTGTACAATAAAGATAAAGATAATTCACTGTTTTAAAAGAGAAATAAGGGTGAAGAGGTTAAAGTAATTAAGGAAATTGTGAATGGGGATGAAGGAGTTTGATTCAAAAGAAATGATTCCCTATTTAATGTAAGTGGATCTTTTCCAGTAATGTGTTGAAATATCTTTTGGAATGTAATTATTGTACTTATCGAAGTGTGAACAAAATTTCTTAGTTACATGTTTTTTATTAAAGCATGTATTTTCTGTAGACTTGATATAACAAAAGCCAGTGGTCTAAATGTATACCTTGGTATTTTATTGAAATCAGGTGAGTGCTCAAAAAGAATTGTCACGATGTTATTTTGTTTCAGTCTTTGAAGGCTAAAGTTCCAACACTGGTAGACAAAATGATAGCTGTTTCAACTTTGGCAAGTAAAACAGGACCAGCAAGTGCTGAGAACCTCAACAATTTACTGAAGAGACCGTGGGATCCAGCAGCTGGTAGTCTCAGTCAGCATAAACCTGTTAGTACCTTGATATGCTGTGATACAGTTAAATTGGTTTTGTTATACATATGATCACATGGGTTATGAAAGTAAATAAAATCACAGTGACACGGTGTATTCTTACCACTTTATGTAAGATGAGCAACATGTTTATGTCATTGTCAGGCCTTCAAACACTTGAAATACATGTATAATCATTACATTATGGGGACATATACACCTGGGATGTAATTCTACATAATGGATCCATTGGCCTATGAAGTGCTTATTAAACATAGAAATATTACATACAGCAGTAAAGAATTGTGCATAATAGAAATTAGTAAAATCGATACATTGTAGAAGCTACATGTAGAAGTCACTGATGTTGAACAGTGTTGGTACAATTCGTGGTTTAGAATGTTCTCAACATTTCTTGTCTAGCTCTCTAAGATTCACCACTAAGATTTTCGTAGGATATGTATTTCAAATTATAGTTATGTAAATATATTATTTATAGTCACTTGCTGTTTTTCAGTGTTATGGAAATAATTTGTGTTCTGTGGTTACTATTCTCCACATGGTTTTGTTGTTGGCCACTTTTCATTGCTTATGCCATATGCATGCTGGATTGCCAGTGTATATAGTGTAGTTGTCAACTGCGGTCTGTGCTATGTTAATAGGCAACATGTGAGAAACTCTGAATCAGTATTCATCGGAGACCATCATAGACTTGAAATTATGATTAGTTGTATAGAGAAATTTTACACTATGTTTTGTATAGTAGTAAGTCATTGTACTTACAGAGATATTTGTCATTATGCTGTTTGAATAACCATTATGTAAAAGTGGGCAAACTGGTGTTGCCTGCAAGGTGCATGGAAGAAACCTGGTAATGAAGGGGAATGGGTGTGAGAGTATCATGCCTGGAAAGGCTACTTTACACATACATCTCGTCTTGGATTGTGGATGTGAGAGAGGGACTCCAGATTGGAAGGATAGTTATGAGTATACAACTGAGGATAAAAGGCAAGGGGATTTTATGAAGGGGTAACACGCTGTCCTACAAGCTGCTCTCTTGTGTATCATTGTCATGAGCCATACAATGTTTCACAATGTGAATATAAATTTTGTGTATGGATGTTGCTTCATTATCATTTTGTGGACCGCATGCCCTTTAAAAGGATTTTCGCTTTTAAACGTGGCAGACCGGTGTCATATTATTATGACTTTAGGACACGTTATGTTGAAACACACTATACCTTGCCCTGGCGCCACGCAACTGCAATGAATACTGCATAATAAATCTTCGGAATGTATGCTAGGTATTCAGTAACTTGACCTGGCTGGCTAGGGTCCCTACTTGAAAAGAAAATAGACTTTGCCCCTTCCAGCTGTTTATGTACCAGGCAGGAAGTTAGTAGAGGGGAATATGTTTCAAGGACAAAAGCGGTTGAAGGCAAGCTTTTCCGATGAGCTATCTGACGTGCCTTGTGGAGGAGTAGTGATTAGTGACTCAGACAGTGGAAGTGACAGGGCTCAACAAAGAATTGTGGCCACAGATAATAAAAGTGAAAGTTGCCTTGTGGCTTATAAATTTTGCCATTTTCAATTCATTATTGGTTTACAAATATCTAAACCCTGATTCAAAATTGAAATAGAAAGCATTTCTGATGAATGTGGCAAAGGCTTGGGCTACAGACCAGATGGTGGCGGCAGAACCAGAGTCAGACACACTTAGTGCAACCTAGGTCATGAACTCCCTCCCCACGCAGGCCTCGTGCACACCCCTGGGCGACTCTCAGGGTGATATGCAGAAACATACCCACATGATAATTGTGAAGAGTGAACATTCCAAGGGGAAGCATCCTTCTAGGCAATGCCGTGTTTGCGCAGTTCACAAAAAAAAATACTATGACTGTCTACATTTGCAAGTGTATAATGCCACTTCACAAAGGGGAATGTTTCCAGAAATATCACACTCTCAAGCACTTCTAGGAGCATTGGTAAGTGTTCTCCAAAAATTTTAGTTCACAAAATTAATTAGGAGATTTTATATTAATTTTTAAAGTGAACAGTGCACAAGTTAGGGTAGTAGGTATAAAAATGCCGGTCCCCAGGGTGATTTAAATATTTAAATCGCCGGTCCGCGAATTGTTTTGCTGTCAGTAATGCATACTATATAAATCTGGTTAGATGACTGTGAGTAATGAATTAGAAAGAATGCGGAAGGAACTGGTTCAGGCCTAATGATCAGGTCAGAAAGGATGTAGAAGGAAGTTGTAGCCAAATCTAAAGATACTATCCCAATTTTCATCTTTTGGGGGGGGGATTGAGGAAAACCACAAAATAAATTTTAAAATGATCACTGTTAGATCTGAGGTTGAAACCAGGCTCCTTCCAAATACAAGCCCGAAGTATTACTGCTTCAGGTAAGTAGCTCAGTTTAGGAGAAAACATTGATTTCAGGGAAAAATAGCTATACATTATTAACACTCAGAATTACTGGGTAATACACCATCATCAGAACCCTTTGGAATCTATTTGTAGATTATTAAGTTTTGTCTCCATAATGTTCTCTCATATTTTACCACTGGCACATACTAATGCATTCCAAGGCCTTCTTAAAGAAATGCCTTGAAAAAAAAAACGATATTAGTTAGTAACCCAATGAACTTGAGATATTTGAGTACAGGAAAATTGGGCTGGGATTCTTGTGGAAAAATCAGTACATGATGACAGATCTTTCGCTGTCACTAATCATACCATGGATACTAGTACTGTAAAAACATGCTGCTGAAGCATTCTGAGTTACCCCCAAAAATGGACCATTACTGCCATCTCTAAGGGAAAACCAGTGTTAATATTAACAGGAAAGACAGAATAGTTTGTAAGTCAGTCCTCTGCCATTCGAGCATTATTCTGAACTTTTCCATAGCCCATTGTCATTGAGTGAATTGGAAGAAATTATTAATACACGCAGAATTATGTGGAAAACGTCATGTTGTATTATGAACTGTTTTCAGAGGAAATTGCCTGGCAATCCTATCCTTGTGATAGCTCCTTCCAGTCCAAGTACTGGGTCAGTGCAGACAACTCGAGCACAGCAGTGGTTTGCACATCTATCCACACTTGGCCAAGTGATAACAGTCATTATGCCAACAGGAGCTGGTACTAGTCGTATGACAATGACAAATTGTCTTGATCAAATGATAGCAGCTACTAGATCCAAAATCAGTGAACTGAAAACTGATTTTCCAGGAAGGCCTGTTATTCTCATAGGATGGAATACCGGTGGTGCCATTGCATGTCAAGTAAGCAAGATAATTTGATAATATGCTGCTTGATTTCATGACTTGGTATCTGTGTAGATATACAAATTTTATTACGTGTTAAATATATTTTCCATTTTATACTTATTTTACAGTCTTGAAATTTCAAATTAACCTTTAAGAGCCGAGCAACGCCATATGGCGTCATGAAAATAAAGTCAAGGGGACGAATGACGCCATGTGTCGTCGCGCAGTCCACGTGTGCGGCCGGCTTTTTAAAATCTAATTTTAAGTTATAAATTCTTTTTCTACTTACATGATTTTTGGTCACCAGCTTTATAAGTTGTCTCTCTTCCCACCTGCGTCGTCTAACGGACTGTTGGCTTAGTGTGGAAATCAAGGAAACATCCGGAAATCCAGTGTCTGACGTCGCACTTCACACACTTTGTCCGTACGGTTCTTCGTTTCCCACGCGAAAAGCACACATGACACCTCAATTGCGAAGTAGAGGAAGTCGGCCAGTGATGTGGTTTGGCCTCCTATAATCGAGATATCTCCGATAAAACGGCAGGGGTTCGACCTCTGGGCTCTTGATGGCGAGGTGGACCCCTTCCAGCATGTTCCGCACAAGAGCGAGACAAAATTCTCTTTGTGACAACAGGATGTAACTGTTCAGATCCAGGAGACAGAAAAATAGTTTATTTGTCCATTTCCAGGTTCGACGACAGATGCTATAACTGTTTGCCACAGTTTGCCCACAGCTTCACCTGAATAATTATTCACACTTCTCTTGCCATGCTGGTGTGGTGGTCCCCAGGTTGCCGACCAAGATGATGGTTCTTCGTCGAAATCAACCGCCAGTGATGTGGTTTGAGCTCCTCTAATCGAGGTATCTCCAATGAAACGGCAGGGGTTCGACCCCTGGGCCGTTGAGGGCGAAGTGGACCCCTTCCAGCATGTTCCGCACAAGAGCGAGATGAAATTCTCTGTGTGACAACAGGATGTAACTGTTCAGATCCAGGAGATGGAAAAATAGTTTATTTGTCCATTTCCAGGTTCGACGACAGATGCTATAACTGTTTGCCACAGTTTGCCCACAGCTCCACCTGAATAATTATTCACACTCCTCTTGCCACGCTGGTGTGGTGGTCCCCAGGTTGCTGACGAAGATGATGGTTCTTCATCGACTTCAATTTCTGATTCACTTTCTTCCTCGCAACTCTCAGAGTCATCGGTACAACAGTCTGAATCGGTGTCATTTATAAACTGATTCTCAATTTCAGCGTCTTCCAAATACGAGGCCAT